TGTAAAACGCTACGAATTAATTCCAACACCTAATAATTAGTTTTATTTTATATATAAAATATATAGATTGTCACACACACAATATGTATGTATGTAATATGTACATATGTATATAAAATATATGTATTAAAAATAGATTTTATCTTATGGATACTAATATGAGGTGTTGTCCACATAGCAAACTCTTCTTTCTTTCCTTTTATTTTAAATTCCTGCGATCTTATTTTCATGAAAAGCACAAATCGAGATTCTCGTTCTCGAATTGTGCGATATAATATTCTTGAAATATTTGTGCGATTGGTCATAGTGATAACCATACAATTGGTAGTAAATCATATATGTATTATACACATCAAACTAGCCATTAACATATAGTGATCGTTCCTTAAAATTGGCACAAATAATACTTTCTATACAAAAAGATATTCATAAAAAAAAAAAAGAAAATTTTATAGAATCTTAGTGTATCATTTTTCACTTTTAAGCAATTTCTTATATTTACATTTATTTCCTTCACTGTATCGCTTTCTTTTCTTTTATAACATAAATTGTATATCGAATATATTAGTATATTTTAGTTTTATATTTTTTAATTATGACGATTGGAACAAAATGCGAACATAATTATGTAGTCAATTCTCAAAGCTAATACAGATGATAAACACACGTTTACATTTTTTTAGTAAAATTAATATTTATATGTTAAGTTAACGTATATTTTATTCATTTATGTTAGAATTTACGTTTTAGAATATTATACAATACATTATTTTTGTTTATTTAGGTTATTTATACAGGTTGTGTTATTTTCGTACTGAAAAATATTAAATATTTTTCACAAAATAATTAATACAAAATTTTTTAATAACATAATCACATTGGATTAAATTAATACTCGAGTATATTAAAAATGTAATGCAAAATTTTAACTTGAATCGTTCTTGAATCGTTTCTAACATAAATATAAAATGTTTTCTGTGGAACAATTCACAGTAATGATCTAATCTCGAAATACGATACGATACAAAACAGCACACAGAAATAGAATCTTCGTCGAGATTTCATACAACCGAGGAATAAAAGATCGACTTGACATCTGTTGCTTTCATTTATGTCAAGCCTCGGATCAGAATGATGCTATTTGTACACATAATTGTATGCATTGTGTTAATTTTTTGCGTATCAGTAAAGGCGGATTATACCGTGATAGTGAGAACGGAAGAAGAAAATTTTGTGTCAATTTTAACAAAAACGCCCAAATATGTTCCAACTTGGCCCAGTTTAGACAGTCGGCCGTTACCAGTTTGGTATGATGTTGCAAAATTTGGAATCTTTATTCACTGGGGTGTATTCAGTGTGCCTAGTTTTGGCTCTGAATGGTTTTGGAACAATTGGAAAAGTAAAGTGTCATACTATTTATATTTATAAATGAGTATTTATAGTACCTATAATATTTATATAATGTTATGTATTTGTGTGATGTTATAGAGGAAACTGAAACTACGAAATATTCCGACTTTATGAAACAAAGATATCCTCCGAATTTTACTTATCAAGACTTTGCACGTGATTTTACTGTCGAGTTCTTCAATGCTTCTGAATGGGCTGAGTTATTCAAGGCATCAGGTGCAAAGTATGTTGTACTGACAAGCAAACATCATGAAGGATATACATTGTGGCCATCGAAGTATTCATTCAGCTGGAATTCTATGGATGTTGGACCTCAAAAGGATCTTGTTGGTAATAAAAATATATATCTAACAATAAGATTTCGTATTAAGTACACAATTCTCATATGTATTTCTTTTTCTATAAAATAGGTGAACTAGCAGAAGCTATTCGTAGCAAGACAGATTTAAAGTTTGGCTTATATCATTCTATGTATGAATGGTATAATCCCCTTTATGTAACAGACAAACAAAACAATTTTACAACAGATAGATTCGTGATTCATAAAATAATACCAGAATTGTATGAGTTGATAGAAACATACAAGCCAGAAGTAGTTTGGTCAGATGGAGATTGGGAAGCATCGGATTCTTATTGGAAATCGAAGGAATTTCTAGCATGGTTATATAATAAAAGTCCTGTAAAAGATACGGTTGTGGTGAATGATAGATGGGGTAGTAATATACCGTGCCATCATGGTGATTTCTTTACATGTACAGATCGTTTTAATCCTGGTAAATAGCACAAAAATTATAATATAACAATATAAATTATGTGTAGAATAATATCATTAAATGAAGATATATATTGTACATAGGTGAATTTACAATTAATAAAATTTTATTTGTTAGGCGTACTTCTCCCACACAAGTGGGAAAACTGCATGACTATTGATAAAAAATCCTGGGG